TGGGAAGCAATCTTCTTCTGCCCTAAGCATCCCAGGGCCAGGTCCCAGGCAATGGAGACCACCCCTGTAGTTTAAAGCCTGTTGACATTACCCAAACTAGCCAATCCTAAAATGTTCACCCGCCCTGCTTTGCCTTTCTTTTTTTTTTCTTTTTTTTTTTTTTTTTTTGAGACAGAGTTTCGCTCTTGTTACCCAGGCTGGAGTGCAATGGCGAGATCTCGGCTCACCGCAACCTCCGCCCCCTGGGTTCAGGCAATTCTCCTGCCTCAGCCTCCCGAGTAGCCGGGATTACAGGCACGCACCACTGTGCCCAGCTAATTTTTTGTATTTTTAGTAGAGACGGGGTTTCACCATGTTGACCAGGATGGTCTTGGTCTCTTGACATCGTGATCCACCCGCCTCGGCCTCCCAAAGTGCTGGGATTACAGGCTTGAGCCACTGCGCCTAGCCTCCTGCTTTGACTTGCTAGTGAAAAACCCAGTGAAGAGGAGCTCTCTCCTCACTTCTGCCCACAGGAGGTCTGTGCTGAAGCCTGAGAATTGGGATTTCCATTAAATTACAAGTTATCGGGTGATGCTATTGCTGCTGGTCTGTGGACCCCACTGTGAAAACTATTGGAATAGAGGAGTAGAGGGTAGCTGGGAAGCTGTAGACACATTTGCATATTGCGCCCAGGGAGCCCCTTGAAAGGAAAAGGATGAGGACACTGATCTCTTATTTACTCTAATTCAGTAGGTCCTGATGGACTGAGATGGTAATGACCTTACACATTACTGGTGAGAATAGACAGCAGGGGTCCCACGGGAGAATTCATCCTGAGGGCAACTTCAGACAGGCCTAAGCAAAGGGTGGCCTGTGGACCAGCAGCATCAGCATCTTGTGGGAGTTGTTAGAAATGCAGATTACTAGGCCCCATCCAAGACCTACTGAATCAGAGTGTCTGAGTGTGTGGCCCCCAGACCTGTGTTTGAAGAAGCTCTCCAGGTGATTCTAACACAAAGTGAAATTTGGGAAGCACTGGTATAGGCCCATCATCTGCCTTTATACTGGACCCTGCATTACTTTGATGGCAAGGTGGCCGGTTCTGGCACAGAGTGTGGCTAGTGTGGCAGTGGCTAGACTCCCAGACCCAGCTACTTAGCTGGTGACCAGTGGGGACAGTAGCAAAGCAGGTGAGTAAAAGCTCACTTGCACTGTATAAGAAACCCAGAAGTGGCACAGCCCTGAACGGATCTGAGCAGGCGTCTGATTGGCAAAGGCATAAAGGCTGCCATGGGAAAACCCCACTGGACTCTGTGAGACCAATGCAGAGCCATCATTCAGGAGGTAGTGAGAGAAGCAGGGACTGGGCAGGCTCTCTAGTCATGTGTTTACTGACCCATCACACTACACAAGCCCTAGGGCTTTTCCTTCCATTGTCAGGGGCAAGCACTGGGGAGAAAGAGAAGGTACTAAGAGAGGCTGCCTGCTCAATGGGGAAAGTGGCTGCTTAAAGGATTGATTTAGGTATTCAAAGATCTGTGACCTTCCTTTTTTCTGAGACAGAGTTTCACTCGTTGCCCAAGCAGGAGTGCAATGGCACAATCTCGGCTCACTGCCTCCCGAGTTCAAGTGATTCTCCTGTCTCAGCCTCCTGAGTATCTGGGACTACAGGCACCCACCACTATGCCTGGCTAATTTTTGATATTTTTAGTAGAGACGGGGTTTCACCACGTTGGTCTCAAACTCCTGACCTCAGGTAATCTGCCTGCCTCAGCCTCCCAAAGTGCTGGAATTACAGGCGTTAGCCGACATGCCCAGCTGACCTTTGTACCCTAAACTGATGAAATACGTCACTCCATTTATATTTCTGTAAATTTCATATTTTATTTGTGCTTCTAACAGAGAGAGTTGGTTAGTGGGACTTGCAGCGGAGGATTCTGACTCATGGTATCCTGAAGATGAAGACTAAGGAAGGAGGTCGTTTGAAGGATATTGCTGGTGCCCTGAAGGACCATAGATTCCAAACAGCAGAAGATGGTTCCATTGAAGACTGCGGCAAGGGAAGAGCTGGGAGCGGAGTGATGGGAAGACGCCCTTGAACACCTGGGGGTGATTCAGCTTCACCGTCCCCCAACATCTGGCACCCACCTCCCCTTCTCAAGCACCTCACACCTGTGCTGAGGCTGTTCCCTTGGTCTGGAATGCGTTCTCCACCTGTGCCTCTTTCAGCACTTGGCTTGGGATCTTTTCTCTGAAGATTTTTCAGACCCATCCTGAGACAGTGTTTCCGTTTCTCCCCATGCTCCCCACTGGACTCTCTATGTATGTCCATCATAGCATATACACCTTCTGCTCTGGGACTGTACATTCCCCAAGGCAGAGTTTGCCTTGTCTTTCTCTTAGACTCAGTACCTCAAATGGCAAATGAGATAGTTACTACCCAGGTAGAGCTTATCATCAGGTGGAATTTTCATAAAGATATCTGAATAAGGGGTTAAGCCTCAGTGAGGAGCTTTAAATGCATATTTTACTGGTTATACTACCAGGAATTTAGTACTTAATCTGCTTTAGTCACTCCTGTCTAGGAGAGATCCCAATTTAGTAGGGGAAACCCGTTCCTGCCCGTAGGGAGTTCCACTCTGATAAGGGTGACATAGACTTTGCCCTCAACGAATTCCCAGAATGATGGGTAAACATACCATATTAGCCATGACACTGTTTCCTGACATTTGCTGGTTTCTTTTCATGCAATAAAAAATGTGGCCCCTGAGAGCCCAAGCCTAAATCGTCCTGCAGTTCACAGTCCAGAGACAGAGCTCATATCCTAACGTCAAATCTCAGAGAAGGCACTGTTTGGACTTGCATGGCCCCGGTGCCAGTCCCTGTGGGCAGGTGGGGCTGAGTGGAAGAAACGAAGGCAGGCTGGTCCTGCCAGTCTACACAGAATGGGTTTGCCATGGGACAGAGGTCTGGTATTGGGGAGGGGATTTGGAGGCGGGCACAGCAAGCTGTCCTTGACTGACAAAACTACTCCCGGGGCTGCAGAGGGATCTGGACACAAATCCAGCACAGAATGTAGGCAGGGGCATGTACCACAGAAGCAAGCACACATCAATACTCCAGAGTAGACTCAAAAGTGGAGAGGAGTCCTGGTGCTTGAGGCCGTGGAGTTAAATGAGGAAAGCTCACAGGGGAAGATGAATCTTGACCAGGAATTGGAAGAAAGAGTGCAACAGGTTTTAAGAGGCTTGTCCTTGCAGATGCCTGGGGACCAGGATGGGGTGTGCTGAAGGCATACCTGAGGAAGAAGAGGACAGTTCCTCAGAGGATGCCGGAAACGCCAGGTCCCACCAGTCTCACACACTGAGCCCAAGGCCCTTCACCCCTCTGCCCCCTGTTACAGCATAGGATGCCCTCCCACCCACAACAGTGGGGACCAGCTCCTGGGAGCCTGCAGTCTTAGGAGATAAACATGCATAGCTTTTACTCCTTCCAGAGTGAGAAACAGGGATGGGGGTGGGGGTTTCGGGGGTGGGGGGTGGCGGAGGTTAAGTTCTATGGAAATTAGGAATAGTGCTGGGTAGGGGCAGCAAGGAAATGGGAATTGAAGGGGGAGAGGGAGAGAGAGAGGGACACTACAGCCATACCCCCCTGAACACACCTGACCTCCTCTGATCTGGGAAGCTAAGCAGGCCTGGGCCTGGTTAATGCTTAGATGGGGGAGAGCGACAGAGGTTTTAGCCTATGAAAGGAGCAGAGTATAGGGCAGAGGAGAAAATTGGGGCAGCCCTCACTGTGGTCATGGCAACACAGATACATCCAACTGTGCCCGTAAACTCCACTGTTTGTGAGTCTGTTCCTAAGCCAAAGCCCCAGGACAGAAAGGAACAAACAGATCCCCAGGTATGGGAATCACCCCCAGAGAGCCTACACCTCTCCTGGCTGGGCACTGCCAGGGGTGGGAGTGGGGGTTCCTTTCAGAGGTCACCTCTCTCGGACCAAACAGAGGGATGCTTTCCATGCCGAGTGCCTTCTTCTACAGAAAGGAATATAATGGTAGGCACCTGGTTTGTGCTTGAGGCATGGTCAGAGGCTCTGGGGTCAGGGGAGAGGTCTCCCGTCAGGTGAGCACAAAGGGTGGCACAGCCCTAATCACACATCCCCATGAAGCCCAGGAGCTCACCACCAGGACCATGCCACCAGGCAAGGCACATCCCTGCTTTCCTCTCCCCAGGTTGGGGTGCGCTGGGCTCCAGATGGATTTTAGGAAGGCAGATTCCTCAGTTGGCTGGAGGAGGAGTCTCTGCCAAGCGCCCGCAAAGCTGAGCTTCCCCCACCCTCCTCTTATTATCTCTCTCCCTTTTCATTTTCTTGCCCCCACTTCCTCTGCTTATCTTCTTTCAGCTCCTGTTTTCTTTTCTGCTCGCCTGGCCTCTCTCCCCACCCACCAAGTCCCTCCTTCCTCTTCCTCTTCCCCTCTCCGCTGTCATCTGTCTCCAGTTCCTTTGGTCTCTCTCCTCTCTCCCCACCTGCTTTCTCTCTATTTAAATCGATCCTGAAGCCAGAGGAGTAGGTGGAAAAATACTGCACTGGGGACAGCAGAGAGGAACGTTTTGGCGTTAGACCTTTTTCTTCCTGCCACAGTAGAACCAGAGCAGAGATCCCGAGAGCCATTACCACTCACCCACGCATCCCCCACACTCACAGCCCGCACCCCCAGCCAACACCACCACTGACTGGTAGCAGGAGGCAAAAGTCAGGGGAGGAGACAGCGGTCACACCCCAGCCCCTTCTTGTGTACCCTGCAGCCAATTGTGATTTCCAACCCATGAGGAAAGTGGAACTTTCCTAAGTTTGGTTCACCTTGGGGTCAAGCCTCATGGAAACCCTAGGTATTCTGCCATTTGTAATTTGTTCAAAGCCAAAGTTAAGTCATCAGCCCTCACCTACTTCACAATTGAATTGTGTACTGATCACCGTGGTGGGAGGAGGGCTGGGTCCCTGGTCCTGAGGAGTCCCAGAATGGCTGAAACACCTGCCCCAGGCCTGTGTGCTTGATGGTCCCAGAGCTGGGGCTGGGAGAACAGAGGTGGGCCTGAACATCTGGAGCTGGACAGGTTGGTTTAGAAGACTTTTCAGAACTGAAACCAAAGTTCAGAAATGAGGGCAGTCTTTTAACTCCCATTTTGCTAATATGGAACTCCTTGATATGTTGTAAGCCCACCCACTGAGATGGAGGCTTTTCCTAAAGGTCCCTAAACACATTTCCTGAAGCTCAGGGCCCTCCCTTCGGGGAGAAGTTACCCATCAAGGAGCCCCTCTACTGTGGAAGGCTATACTAGGAATAGGCTAGCCACAGGTTGCCCCAGGATGTCAGCCTGCTGCCCCAAAGGGAACTCTTGACCCAGGAAACTCCTTCAAATGCATGCAGATTGATATTCAGTCACCTGAACAGCTCCTGGGTCTGGGTACAGGCTGAGGGTGGTAATAAATGGGGCTGTCAGCCCAAGAGCCTTCACTCATGTTCTCTGAGCCCACACTGTAGAAAAATATGGGTCCCTGGGTGCCACAGGCAGCAGGGGGCGGGAAAGAGGTCAGCCATCAATCATCCGCTACTGGGGCTGCATGTATGTACTTCCTGTACATCCTTGCCCTCACTGGCTTGCACGTGATTGGGGGATTCTTTGTTTATCTGTGTGTGCATGTTCGTGAGTGTTTTTATCAGTGTGGAAAGGTGTAGCTGTGCATATATCTTACATATCTGTGTTTCGGGAATGAAACACACACACACTACACAGAGAAAGAGCACTAGAGAAGAATGAGTGGACTAGCACAAGCAGTGAAAGAAAGCACAGCCTGTGTAAGGCCTGATGGAGTTCTTAGCTTCCTGCTGGTGTTCACCATGATCCAGCTCTGCTAATCTCAATGGTTGTTACAGAATCTTAGTCATTCTAGGGCACTTTGACTTTTCAGGGCACGTTGACTTTACCTCATTCGATCCTCATAACAATTTCACAGGGATCCCTTTCCTAACTTCCAAGATAAAAGCTCTGAACTCAGAGAGGTTAAGCGACTTGCCTAAAGTCACACAGCTCCTTAGATTTGACAAAGTACTTCCTAGATAGTTCCAGTAGGTGAGAAATGTCATCTATATCAAAGGGAAATGGTGCATTGCCTTGCAGCTCATACATCTAATATATAGCAGGTCTAACAATGGTCTAATACAGCCTGGAACTTGCCCCTCTAAGACCTCCTAAGTCTGGACTAGGGTCAGATGTGAGTGCAGCTTCCCTGCAGGATAAGGGAATAAGTAAAAACCTAAAATGCCTGGATAAAGCCAGCCCCCACTAGACTTGTGTCCTATCCCTCAATGTCAATTTATTTGTGTGCATGCACACACACACACGTGGCCTGGGTACCATTTCCCTGTGCACCCCAGGTTTCCTCTCCCTGCCTATGGGCATCCTTGTGACCAGGCCTGCTCCCAGAGCAGAATCCCAGATCTAGAAGAGGGAGCAGTTCCATTTCCTGCTCTCCAAGCTGTCCTCATGTGGGCAGGATGCACATGCAAAATGACTTCATACCGTCAAAGAAAACACACAAACAAATGCGGAGTAATAACCCAGCTGTAGGAGCTTTATACAGCCGTGCCAGGGGGTGGATGGATGGGCGGAGACACAGAACCGGGGGTGCTGAGTCAAAGCAGCTGTGTTCTGTGTTCAGGAACTGAACTCTAAGGGCAGGCTCTAGCTGGTACCTATACCTTGAGGCCTCTCACATAGAGTCTGGCATGGAGCACTATTGAATGGGGGCCTTAGACCCCATGGGCTCTGACCCGGAGTCTGAGGCACCCATGGGGCCTGGAGCAAAAAGGTGAAATGGCAGGAGACCAGACAGACTGTACGTGCCAAGGGGTAGAATAAAGTGCCTCCATACAGGCCTCAGGCCAGCAACCTCCTGTAGTCACCAATGCAGTCGATGGCTGTCAAAAGATCTGGCCTGCCCTGGCAGTACCTCAAAGCTGCACCAGGACTCCATCCTCAGTTCTGCAGAGCTCCTCCATTAGATCAACTGGCCTCCTGAGCAAGCTGGGAGAGAAGAGACCACTGTACACCAGGGGAAGCTGAGCCCAGAGCAAAAAGGAACTGAGCACTGGGTCACGCTGGACTCTGGAGAGCCAGGCCTACCGATCTTCTTCCAGCACTTCCTCCTCCCCACTGGCCTCATTTAAGGTCTCCTGGAGGTTGATTTAAACCAGGCTTTTACAAAAAATCCCTACCTTGTATCCCTTGGTTTATTTTCCCTAGGCTCCAGTTCCCTGCTTGTAATTTGGATCACCCTGAAAAGATATAAACATCTCTCTGTTTAAAGAGCCCCTGAGGAGCCAACAGCGGCTCTCCGGCCCTTCTGTGATTAGAGAAGGCACTTGAGGGTGGGGAGACATGGGCCCTCTTTCCCCTGCCCCTGTCTGTGTCTGAGCCTCAGGACTGAGGCCTGAAGATGCCGGAGAGGATGAGGCCTGATGGGTCTGAGGAACGTGCAGGGAGCTGGAGGGCGGGGAGCACTTCTGCTCCCTGCACAGGGGCTGGTGCTGCAGTTTATAGCCAGGCACCTAATTTATAAGCTGTTTTTACTGCTGTTGTGAAACAGCCACAAACCAAAGAAATAAAGTAGCCGGAGGAACAATGTCTCGCCTCCACCTTGGCCCTCCCAGCCTGTCTGCTGTGTCAGGGCCTCTGTCTCCAGGGTCGGAGAGCTGAGGTCCTCTGGTGACGGATCTTCCAAAGTGATTCCTTGGGGCCCTGAGAGGGTAGGAGACACATTCAAGGAAGCTAGTGGGGAAACCAAAGCCAACTGCAGGGGACAGCCAGGTGGGAAGCTCCCAGGGTCCCTCCAGAGAAAGGGGCACAGGTTCAAACCTTGCTGCCTCCTGGTCAGGCATATTTGGAAACTGTTCTTGAGCCCGTGTGGCTACCTCACCAGCTTCTCCTGGTGCCAAGGGGAGAAAGGCCAGTGACAAAGTCCTGCAGAAGGAAGGCGGTGATGTTCACCCTGGGGCTCCATACCACCCAGAGGCAGCCCAGCCACTACCCTGCTCACCCACAGCCCCCATGGTCCACACCACACTGTAAGCGCCTGATGGCTGGATGAGCACTTGATGGCATGGTGCTGTTCCCTTGTGAATGGTGTATGATACCTTCTACACCATGATACCTCAGTGTGCTTTGGTGTCCCCTTTCTCGTCACTGTGGGCCAGGTCCACAATAAGCAGGTGATCAACAAATACACAGGGAGCAAACTGAGCGATTCTGGAAAGAAAACGGGGGCCAGAGCACTGCCCCTGAAGAAGGCAGCAGGCAGGCATAAGGGTGCTGAGTGTGGAGTGTGAGGTGACCACCCGGGGAGGAGCTAGGAACCACCCCACAGACACGGCATCCACACTCTTGGAGAGGAATTGGTCATTTTCAACAGTCACTCTTCTATATCCCACTTCCATGGTGGGCCTTGAATTCATGATGTGTTTGGTCAGGTGCCGAGAGCTCCAAAAGGTCTCTGCAGTGAGAAATGACAAGCACAGCCTCCCATTAATCATGCTGGAGAAGCACAGAGGAGAGTGGCGGCCTCTCCCAGGGCCTCCAGGAATGCGTGATGGAGGAGGCAACACTTTGAGCTGAGTATAGAAGGCTGAGTTCCCTGGCTACAGAGTAGGAGACAGCTATTCCAAACCATGAAAAGCAGGGTGGGTCATAGCCACTCAGTTGCTGAATCCTGCTTGCCCACTACAGTTAACCAGCTCCAGCCACAGCTCAAGGTCAAGACCATTCTCTCCATAGCCACCCAAACCGCAAGCTCACCTAGACCCATTCAGAAATCCCTCTCCTTAGCGCTGCCAGCCTAAGCAACTCTCCTCTCTGCCTTCTTTATCCCAGACACAGATGGATGACAGAACCCCTCTTCTCTTTCCTCTTGTCCCAGCTGGGCATCCCTCTGCTGATGGCAACTGCACTTGGTGTCACCCATCTCCCTTCATTACAACCCTTCACGCTTAACCACAGAAACAGTCAAGAGTGCAGCTCACTTATCGAATATACACCAGGTCTAACATTGGTCTAGGACAGCCAGGAGCTTGCCCCTCTAAGACCTCCTGAGCTTGGACTACGGTGAGATGTGAGTGCAGCTGCCCTGCAGGAAAAGGGAATAAGGAAAAAAACCAAAGTGCCTGGAAAAAAACAGCCCCTGCTAGCCTTGTGTCCTATACCTCAATGTCAACTTATGTGTATGCACTAAGTCTCCCACCCCTCTCCTATCCATCCACCACAGCCTCAGTTAGTCTAATATCCATTCAACAGACACATACAGGTCCACTCCATGTAAGGAGAATGAGAGATGCTAGGGAAGTAACCTTGACTGATATTTAGTCTCTGCCCTTGAGGAGCTCACAGCTGAGTAAAAAATCATGACATAATGGCCAAGAGTGACATCAAAAACCACCTATCAGAACCATCTCATTACAAGAAAACTGGGAAAGATCAAGTGACTTGCAACATTGGAGAACAACACTGCAGAGAAGAAGCTGGACCCAGGCACACTTCCCAGAATCATATTATAACATGTATGGATTTGTTATCAGATGGACCTGGCCTTGACCCCTGGCACTGCCATCTTCTAGCTGTGTGACCTTCAAAATGTTACCCAGCCTGTCTGAGTCTCGGTTTCTTCCTATGTGAAACAAGGAGAGCAAGGCCTTGCTTACAGGATTAGAATAAGGATCAGGGTGGATGGGTGGGGTGGCTCACGCCTATAATCCCAGCACTTTGGGAAGGCGATGCAGGGGGATCACTTGAGGTCAGGAGTTTGAGATTAGCCAACATGGTGAAACCTAGTCTCTACTAAAAACACAAAAATTAGCCTGGAATAGTGGCACACTCCTGTAGTCCCAGCTACTTAGGAGGCTGATGCAGGAGAATTGCTTGAACCCAGGAGGCGGAGGTTGCAGTGAGCTCAGATTGCACCAGTGCACTCCAGCCTGGGCAACAGAGTGAAACTCCATCTTGAGAACAAAAAAAAGAAGAAGAAAGATCAGGTTAAGATGCTGGAAAGTGCCAGGCAACATAATGAATTCAGTAGGAGGTAGCCTACGGGAGTGGCTGTGGCAGAAGGAAGAGTAACGGTAATAGCTAACATGTTGTGTGTCGGGGCCCCACATGTATCTTCTCACATCACCCCTCTAAAGTACGCACTTTTCATTATTAGGACAGTTGAAGAAAATGAGTCAGAGAATGCAAGGAACTTGTCCAAGGTTACCAAGGTAAGAGGTACCACCGTGGGTCCCACCCTGCAGTCCTGGTCTGCTCTGACTCTCAACCTATAAACATGTATGGAGTCCCTGAGGTTTATAAGCACTCTGGGGATATGGAGCAGAACACTGTAAAATCCTGGCCCTCGAGGCTCACAGGGAGTTGAAGTAATCAGGGAAGACCAGAGAGGAGGCAGGGACTCCACTTGGGCTTTGAAGAATGGAAATATCACAGAAAAACGGGGAGATACAGATAGACATTCCCACAGATAGAAATGGCATGAGCCAAGGCCCAGAGGCAGGATTAGTACCAGTATAAAAAGGTTTGTTTTCTCTTTTTTGTTGTTGTTGTTTTGCAGAAATGGAGTCTTACTGTGTTGCCCAGTCTGGTCTCAACTCCCGGCCTCAAGTGATCCTCCTGCCTCAGCCTCCCAAGGAGAGGGCTTTTATTTTTTTGAGGCAGAGTTTCACTCTGTTGCCCAGGCTGGAGTGCAGTGGCATGATCTTGGCTCACTACAGCCTTCGCCTCCCGGGCTCAAGCAATCCTCAACTTCACCCTCCCAAGTAGCTGGGACCACAAGTGTGCACCACCACGCCGGCTGATTTTTGTATTTTTCGTAGATATGGGGCTTCACCACATTGCCCAGGCTAGTCTCCATCTGCCTCAACCTCTGAAAGTGCTGGGATTACAGGCGTGAGCAACTGTGCCCAGCCAGGAGAGGGGTTATTGAGTTCCACATTTACATATCACCTTGTCAGTCACTCATTCATCTCTTTACTCATTCATTCGTTCAACGCATATCTCTTGAGCACCTACTATTTATCAGGCATTGTTTTAAACCTTGGCAATAGATAGGATGCAGGCCTCAACTCAGTCTAGCTGGCGAAAGAATGCAAGGTGAAATGTTAAGGTAGACAATATAGGGTGGTAGGGGACCCAGAGGAAGGGCTCTTAATCTATCCCTGTGGAGTCTGGCAGGGTTTCCTAGAGGAAGTGATGTCTAAGCTGAAACATGAGGGATGCACATATGGAATGATTTCAAAATATTCATACTCACTGTCATCATGATCAGCAGTGTCAAAATCACATTTATTGAAGCCTCGCTAAGTGCCAGGGACCAGATTAGGTACTTTATGTATATTCTCTTCTAATACTCAGACAACTCTATCAGGTGATGCATGCTTTTCATTACCCCTATTTAAAGATAAAGAAATGGAAGTAAAGAGTGTTTACAAGACTTGCCCAAAGTCGCATGGCCAGGAAGTGGCAGGGTCCAGGATCAGATGAGGTCAGATGGGCCTTACCCTTTGTGTCCTTAGACACTTGTCAGGCTAGATAGCAGAGAGAAGCATGCTCAGGCCCATAACATCTGGGGGTGGGGGTGGGGAGAGAGAGAGAGAAAGTGTGTGTGTGTATGTGTGCTGGGAAGGTGTTTAACCCATCAAGTGATGTTTCCAGTATGCCCACAATATTCCTCAGTGTTACACCAAGTGTCCACACCCTCAGCAGCTCAGCCTTTCTGCTCCTGGCAGGATAATCCTTCAGAGTATAAACCCAGTGCCCCAAAACGCTGGAGCATCAAAAGACAAAGCAGCTCCCAGAAGACCAAGGACATCTCCTTTTTCTTGATCTTCTCCTACTACCCTCAGCCCCTCCTGAGGAATTGGCCCATGGGAAGTAGAGAGTGGCATGGACTCTCTAAGTTTTTGCCAGGGAAGCTCAGGTAGAGTCCCACGTCCTGTTGTCATCAAACTCTCCTGGTTAACAAACCAGAACTGCCCACCAGAAGTAAACTTCTGGAATGTGTACTCCAAGAGAGATAGCATGAAGTAGCATGCTCGGTTGCAGACCAGTTCTGCCCTGAATCACTGCGGGGTCTCAGTGTCCTCCCCACAGAATGAGGTGTTCTGTCCGGGTAAGTGCAGTCTGTCTGAAAGGAGACAGGAAAAACAGTGAGACGCTGTCCTGGCTGACTGTCTACCTTCCTGGAGCCCCACAAGATCAGGATTCGAAAGATGGGGGTGGGTCTAGATGATGATGCTTGGGGCCACAGTGTGATGGAACAGGAAAAAGTCTATGTCTTTCCCTTCCAGACATTTGGGCAGAAGAGTGAGAGTTCTGAGCTCCTAGGTTGTTCCTGGGATGTAGGGAGGGGATGAGGGTGATTAAATGAATCAAGCCTTGGAATGGCTCTTCCAGCACCCAGGGCAGGGAGCATTATGTACTCCCTGCCAACTACAGGGCCAAGCCTGGTATCACCATGAGCATGTCATGGGTTCAAGGAATGCAGACTTGGCCCCGAAACAAAGCAGAGGGAAAATCCTGTAGTGACTGAATTCAGGATCCTCCTTAAACTCGAAGGTGAAGCTGATTAGGCTTAGGATAAACAAATAAGCAAAATAAGTCTGTAGTTATACTTCACAGGGTATATAATCCACTTAGAATACAATATCTCAAGAGGAGGCAGGGGCTGGAAATATACAGGGCTCCCAAATGAGATTACGATGACGGGGAAAATGGTTTCATTGTAGGTTAGAAGGAGAAGTGAAGCATTTTCGCGATATTCTTAATATTTGAGAATGCCAGAAGAATCTGGCTTTTCTGGAACCACCCCGAACATCATGCCAAGATCAAAGGCAGACTGGGGGCTGACAAACAATGGCAATATCAGAGCTGAAGTTTTGTTTTTAAAAAACATTTTGTTTTGAAATGATTATAGATTCATAGGAAGTTGGAAAATAGTAGAGGGCACTCCCATTTACCCTGCCCCAATTTCCCCCACCAGTAACATCTTACATAACTGTAGTACAATATATCAAATTATATTGAGAAATATTATTTACTTATTTATTGGTGAAAATATGAAAACCAGCAAAGGGACATTTGAACTGAATCCATCCTCACAGGTTAACAAGAATTCTGGGCAGAAACAGAGTTACAATGAAGCATTAATCAGGGTGCACGCTGATCCACCTCATTGTGAGCAAAAGGCATGCAACACGGGGTACTGACCACTTGCATCCCCACTGTTCATAGAGATGGGATTTCTGATGTTAGAATCTCTCAGCTTTGGTTTAAGAATTGCTCAAGATGTTCTTCATATCCCAGATTCCAGTGAAACAGCTGATGTCAGTCAATTTGAAGACCCCCACAGAGGAACAGACTCATCCCAAGAATACAATTTCTTTATCTCCCTGTCTCATGACTTCACTCTGTATTCTTTGACCAGTCAACAATCTCCCCACTTTGGCTCACTCCAAAACCCTTAAAAACCCTAGCCCCAGACTCCCTGAGGAGATGGATTTGAGGTTTCCCCCCATCTCCTCCTTCTGTGGCCCCAAGATTAAACCTATTTCCTCAGCTGTAGCTTGGTGTCTCAGCATATCGACTTGCCGCACACATCGGGCCATGGACCTGTTACAGTTACAATACCATCCACAGATCTCATTCTGATTTTGCCAGTTTTAAAGGACTCATTTGTGTGTGTGTGTGTGTGTGTGCGTGCGCGCGTGCGCACGTGTGTTTAGTTTTATGCAATTTTGCCACATGTGAACATTCATGTAATCATGCCATAATCAAGAGACACGGAACTGTTCCATTCACAAAGATCCCTCATGCTATCCTTTTATAGTCATACCATATCCCCCATCCCAAGCCCTGGCGACCACTAATCTGTTCTCCATCTGTGCAATTTTGTCATTTTGAGAATGTCATATGAGTAGGGTCACACAGTACCTGTGAAGTTGCCTTTTCTTCACTCAACACAATGCCCTTGAGATCTTTCCAAGTTGTTGCATGTATCAATAGCTCATCCTCTTTGTTGTTGACGTACAACAAAAGATTAGGCAAAATGTACCACAGTTTGTCTAATCATTCAACCATTGAATGACATTGGGCTGTCTCCCATTTGGGGCTACTACAAATAAAACTGCTGTGGACCATCATGTACAGGTTTTGGTGTGGACATGGTTTCATTTCTTTGGACAAATGTTGACTGAGATGATTGTTGGATCATATGGTTAAGCATATGTTTAGTTTTTAAGAAACTGCAGTTGAAGGTAAATGAACAGACAAGAACATCTGGGAACCATTGCAGGGGGTCTCCATTGCAGGGTCAGAGGTGTCCACGAAGCCTTGGCTGGGGCCCAGTGGGGAAGGAATAATGATTGCCCTAGAAAGATTGAGACTGCAGCTGACACAGCTGGGACATGACCAAAGGCAACTGGAAGGAAGAGCTATCTGAACTCCAAGCTATTCAAAGCCACCTACGGAGAACTCAGAAACAAATTTTAATCAGCAGAGTGATGCTGGTCTCCCATAAACCTCTAACCACGCTAGAAAGATAGGCTGCCCAGAATGATTCTCAAGCCATAATAGTGTACTGGTAAATCAGAGCCCTGTGCACAAAGAGCACAATCAAAGAAGCTTAACTGTTCGCTAAGGAGTTCTGTGGTCCAGCCCCAGCCTCCCCCAGGTTCTGCCTCATGTGACTGGAGTGGCTACCAAGTGGAGGACATCAGCTCATTTCCTCAATAAACATTTGCTGAAACTCTCCTATGTGCACAGGCCTCAGACCAAAACAAAAGAAGCCAATATCTGGACAGGTGGTCACATTTAGAGGTGAATGGTAAGTTGTGCCAACCAAGAGGATGCTGAAGGCTTTGGTCTTAAGAAGTCCTAGAATTCCTTAGGAAAATTAGCATCTCATCAGCTAGAGCTTTTTTTTTTTTTTTTTTTTTGAGTTGGAGTTTCGCTCTTATTACCCAGGCTGGAGTGTAATGGAACGATCTTGGCTCACTGCAACTTCCACCCCCAAGTTCAAGCAATTCTCCTGCCTCAGCACCACCACGCCCAGCTAATTTTTGTATTTTTAGTAGAGATGGGGTTTCACCAAGTTGACCAGGATGGTCTCCAACTCTCGACCTCATGATCCACCCACCTTGGCCTCCTAAAGTGCTGGGATTACAGGTGTGAGCCACCACACCCAGCCTAGAGCTTCTTAACACAGGACAGGTTATAGGGCATGTGGATAAGGCAGGGTGTCAGGGCCTTAGGAACAATGACTAATACTGAGCACCTTGTCAAGTGCCAGGCGCCTGGCCTTTGCCAGGCATAGCATTGTAATTTAAAAGGGTAAGATTTATGCAACACTTGTTTATTGAATTTCCTACTATATATGGGGATGCCACACTATCTCTGATATCTCAGAGTAACCAAAGAAGATGCTGATTTCACAGAATGGGGAAAGCTACTCGGACAAAAGACAAAATGGTGCGTTAACAGTCCCAGCCTAACATGGTCAATGCTTTCTTGATTTCCTGTGCTAGAGATTAAGGCAGCCATTCAGCAGTTCTCCAATGGGGAGAGGTGAGGGAGCTAAATCTCCAAATTGGGATTTAAGTAGAGTTCAAAAAAGCATATTCGACATGATATTATAATTCTATATTTGAAATTAATATTAAAATAAAATTAAAAGTATGTTAATTTAATTTTTATAATAGAAACTAGGGTAAGTCAGGCTTGATAAAATGGTCTTAGCTCGCGCAGAGACATAGAAAAGAACTAACTCTCAATTGAAGACAAATTCCGGAGCAAAGTGCAGTAGAGTCCCCAAAAGTATGTGTAGTATTTTTGTTTATTACAAGGAAAGTTTGTGTGAAAAGAAAAAAATTTAAAAATATTGTGTTGGGGGATTATTGTAATACCCTGTTCCTACCCACTTTCTCAAGTGACAGACCCT